TTAGAATTCTGGGATTGACTCACTGGGGGTAAATTGGTCATTTTAACCCGTTCTGTCCAGTCCTATCATGTCCTACCAAACGCTGAACAGTTGTCCTGTCCTGTCCTGTCCCGTCCTGTCTGCGTACCAAACGCACCCTAAAAGTATATGATGGTATACTGAAGTTTTAATATTTTTATAATGCTACAATTTGGAAAAGCTGCTCAAAATATAGGGTTTTTTTTGGCAAAATTAAACCTGCATTTCGAAATCAAAGCAACAAGGTTTTTACAGGATTGAGGAGTTTGGAAGGGACAATACCCTGAATCTACGGTACTTGAAATTAAAGCAATAAGATTTGTACAATACAACACATGTTAAACATGCATACCAAACACACTTTACACTTGAAAGCAAAATATTGAGTATGTCTGATATGCAAATGAGACTATATTGGACGGGACATAATTTGACTGAATAGGACTTGATGGATGAGAATGAGGTAGAAAATGAACAATTATGGAAGGTTTTAGGGTTTTAATTTGACGTATGTGGTTTAATAATTTACCAAACTTGTCTCATCTACTTGATTCTTGTTCCATCTATTTTAGTGGGACAAAAATTATAATTTTGTCTCACTTTGCCATATCTAGTCCTAGTCTAATGTTACGCCAAACATGGAACACGTTTTTGTTCTGTCTTGTTATGTCTCACGTATCAAACACATCCTAAATCATATGAACTACCGACAACACTACGAGAAATCTCCCTCCTCATGCTTAGCATGCACCTGCACCCTGTACATAGCCCATCCCGACGCAACCTTGCCTTGGTCCCCCCCTCGATGTCCCTTCCCTTCCTAAGTACTTGTAACTTCGCTAACCCGTCTTCATTTTCTCTAATCACCGAATGACGAAATATCTTTATCCCATTTTTTTTAAGTTCAAAGTTTTATGTACATTTTAACCATTAATTTTTATAATACTTTATTATCAAATGGGATTATTCTCATCCTACTTGTAAGATTTGATTATTATCTTATGAATGATATAACCCTTCAATTTACTAAAAACATCAAAATTAAACCTTCAATTTACAAAGAACATCAAAATTGAACCTTCAATGTACGGAAAACATCAAAATTAAACCTTCAATTTACCAAGAACATCAAAATTAGGGATTGATGATATAAAAGGGGCATTCATATAATTGTTCATAATATGGGGGATCTTTATGCAATTAGGTGAGATGTAGGGGTCCGAATACGATACACACCACCTATATGTATAACTTCCAATCTCTCTCTCTCTCTCTCTCTCTCTCTCTCTCATAAACAATTGGACACAGAGTTCAGAGCAATGGCAGCACCAACAATGTCGTTTGTCTCGTGTTCTTGTTAAATCGATTATATACCCAAAACCCCTTTATATTATTATAATCAATCATCTCTGTTTCCCTTTCCCTCTGTGTTGTAATTCTTAAAGCAATCAACATGTTTTGCTTCTCTTAAACGTCATACCCATCTTTCTTTCTCTCTCTTGAATGCTTTTTTCACTCACCACTAACTGATTTCAGCTTAAATCTCATCTGGGTTTATCTTAATTATGGAGAGAAAACAAGGGTTTTTTTCTACATTGAAGGAAGAAGTAGTTAGAGGCTTATCTCCAGGAAGGTCCAGGCATAGAACTCCTAAACCCGGCCGGAGTCGGAGCGGGTCTCCGAATTCGGGTCTTCTCCGGCGGAGGAAAGGCCACCATGTATCACAAACCGAACCCGTTATGTCAAGATCCGGAAGCTTGAGACCGTTGGAAGCTCTGTCACCGCTCCGGGAAGGTCCGGATCCGAATGAGACGACGGCAGAAGTCGCCGGTGATTCATCGAAAGTAGAAAGATGGGGACACTGGATGAAGGGTCAGCTATGTCGTGCTCCATCTACTGCTACAAGTTCGGGTTCGGGTTCTGCTTCATATCAACGTTCGGATCTGAGATTGTTGCTTGGTGTCTTGGGTGCGCCGCTTGCACCGGTGCACGTTAGCAACGCCGAACCTTTCCCCCATCTCAGTATCAAAGACACCCCCATTGTTAGTTCTCATCTCATCTCTCTTTCTATATTCATTTTCTTGATAAATATTTCCCAAAATGCAAAATGGATTTCGATTTCTTCCCCAAATTTGCATCAAATTTTTGGTAATTCTTGATCTCATTCTATACAAATTTATGGGAATTCACATTAAATTCAACTTGAAATTAGATTGTTTGATCTTGGTAATCCTTGAGCTTGTTCTAATTTGTGTTAATTCTTGATATTATTTTAAACTATTCATAATGAATTTGATCAAATTCATTTGATAATGTAGGTTGTTTTAAGTAATTTAGAGTTCAATTCTATCCCACAAAAATGGAAGTAGATCATGTGGATGGGATGATTTGAAATTTTTGGTGGTTTTCTGTATTTTGTTTGGTTATTTTAAGTGAAAATTCCAACTTGTATTTTTGTTTTTTATTTCCTATGATGCAAGATCTTTTGAAATTAGGAAAATTTGTTTTATTTGGTGGTATTTCAAGAAAAAGAAAAGAATTTATTTGGGTTTTTTTTTTTTTTTTGTTGTGCGGGGTGGATGAGATATCAAAAGTGAATCTGTTGTACCAAAAAATCTGCCAAAAAATAAGACATTTTGACTGTATTTTTGGTGGGTTCTTGAGTAAATTCAAAGCAATGGAAGTTGTAAGGATAAAGATTGTGACAATAGATTTTATTTGGTGGAGAAGTTGTGCTGTTATCATCATCATCCATAATTAATTTTTTATTGTATAAAAATGAGCAATCACCCCATTTGATGTTAAAATCAGGTTAAATCATGTATTGTAAGTGTAAAAAAAGCAAGTCTTGATGTTGATGTATGAGGAGAAAATTAGTAGGCAGACGTGCGTTTAACGATTGAACCTCAGGTTCATGATTGATTTGAGGGTGAAAGGTTTATTAATGTGTAAGAAAGAGAAAACTGATGGGACAGACAGAGTGACGTGGCAAAGTCATGAACCTCTCTGAATAAAGTATCTGATTTAAGGTTCGATGGCGTAAATAGTTTTCTATTTGGTGGTTTGTGGTTGCAGGAGACTTCTTCTGCGCAGTACATACTGCAGCAGTACATGGCGGCATCAGGTGGCCAGAAGTTGCAGAACTCGATTCACAATGCATACGCCATGGGGAAAGTGAAGATGTTGGCGTTTGATATAGAGACGGCCACGAAGGTGATCAAGAACCGGAATTCATCAAAAACAGCAGAGTCTGGAGGTTTTGTGCTTTGGCAGATGAATCCCGACATGTGGTATGTGGAGCTTGCGCTTGGTGCAAGCAAGGTTCACGCTGGTTGTAATGGGCGGCTCGTGTGGCGACATACACCTTGGCTTGGTGCACATGCAGCTAAAGGACCGGTTAGACCCTTGCGTCGTGCTCTTCAGGTCAGGAATCTTTGGCTGCATTTTCTCATAATATAAGGGATTTTCTGCATATGTTGCAACAAAATTGGCTTCATAAGACACAAAATATGGCTAAATGTCTTAATAGACTGCATTATAGGACTTAAGTATATAGGTTCATACAATTATGCGTCTAACAGGTATTTTAGAATGCTTTTGAAATAAAGTATCATATCAGCATATTTATAGCAAAATTTTGAGTAGTGTCCTATACTTCATAGGAGAACAATTATACCTCCTATGTAAGAAAATGTTAGAATAAGTTGATATGAAGCATTTGAGGGTCAACCACAAGGGTGGTGCCTGATTGGCTCCAAAGGTCAAAAGTACTAGAAGGTCCCAAGTTCAAATCCAAGAAGGAATAAAAATCCCCTTGTGGCCACGGAGGTTCAAATGCGGTGACTTCGGGCTATCTGCAAAGCAGGTGGTCATCCTGGGATTAGTCGGCTCACATAGCGGATTGGATATCCAGGTTAATAAAAAAAGCATTTGAGGGTCCTAACAAGTTTCGTAGGACACTTTCGAAATAATGTGTCGTATTAGTATTTTAGGGATGATTTTAAGAAGTGTAATATAAACACATATTTTCATAGGATACTTGTTTTACAAGAGATTTTTCCAAATAGTGTTACATAAAAAGACCAATCAGACGCTTTATTTCAAACGTGTCCTACAAAACTCGTTAGGGCGCCAAAAACCGCCCTATCAACTAATTGTAACAGTTTTAAATAAGACACATAATTGTTTGGTCCTATAAAACAGTCTATTATGACATTTAAACATATTTGACGTCCTATAAAACCGATTTTGTTGTAGTAATAATTTCTTGTTGTGTTCTATAAATTGTTAAAGGTGCATTTTTGCGTGTATTAGGGTCTTGATCCAAGAACGACAGCAAGCATGTTCACGAACGCAAGATGCACCGGAGAGAAGAAGATCAATGATGAGGATTGTTTCATCCTGAAACTATGTGCCGATCCACACACGTTGAAAGCTCGGAGTGAAGGGCCTGCAGAGATCATTAGACACGTCCTTTTCGGCTATTTTAGCCAGAAAACCGGGCTCCTAATCCATTTAGAAGACTCTCATCTGACGCGAATTCAAACCAACGGAGGCGATGCAGTTTACTGGGAGACCACAATCAATTCGTTTCTTGATGATTACAGGCCCGTTGAAGGAATCATGATTGCTCATTCGGGAAGATCGGTTGTAACCCTTTTCAGGTTTGGCGAAACGGCAATGAGCCACACCAAGACACGGATGGAAGAGGTTTGGACCATTGAAGAAGTTGCGTTTAACGTTCCTGGGCTCTCGATCGACTGTTTTATTCCGCCGGCTGAGCTACGGTTCGGGAACGTAAGTGAAGCGTGTGAGTTCCCGCAAGAAGATCGAGTCAAGACTGCCGCCATGGCGGCGGCCGCTTATCGAGCGAAGGTGGTGGCATTAGAAAGATCACGCGATGGCACAATGAGGAGGGATTTCTAAAAGAATTGGTGGCGGAATTTACAGGTGCTTTGGTTAAATGACCTTCTGTCACATTTTTAAATTCGTAACCTTCTGAACAGGGTTGAAAATGTCACTGCTTAATAGAAGAAATGTCACTTCCATACACAAGAATGCCGTAAAGCCTGTCAGAAGGTCATAGATTTAAAAAACACTTGTCAGAAGCTGATTTAGCTAAATAGCCCCGGAATTCGCATACTAATAGGGATAGTTTCTTTAGTATAAAACTGGCTGGTCAATTTGACTTTTGAAAGCAATAGGAAGAGGAAATCTTCTTGAATCTGTTAATATTTCTGAGGATTATTGTTATCTTTGGAGCCTTCGATCGATCTTTTCGTCAAGGGTTGTGTTCTGTTTCTCGACCGCTCTTTTTGCTTAAAACTGGTGTAACGTTGGCTAGAGATCGAGATTCGATTCGACCCGTGTAAAATCTTGTTTGAAAGATTAACATTTAATATCATCTTTTGTATAATACCGATGCAAAGCATACTTTTTTCAAGTTCAATCTTTTATCTGTTTAGCTCAATGACCTTTTTTCTGGCTCGTTTTGTAAAATAACCCTCTATTAGAGATGACCAAATGGGCTCAGCCCGGTCCGTAACCGCCGGAGGACCGGAACCGGGGCCGATGAGGGAGCGGTTGAAGACCGCCGGTTATAGTCTGGTTAGCGTTTTTATCGTTTTCTAGGACCGAAACCGGTTAAGACCGAGACTTTGAGGATATCAAATAAAAAAAACCCAAACCAAACAGGGAGGCTAGAGTTCCATAATTTTGCAAAACATATACCTTTAACTTTGTGGCTACGTTTGGTACACTGAACATGACATAATAAAATAAGAATCATTGTTTCACGTTTGATATAATTTTTAGGTGGAACAAACATGAACACATCCAAGGCCATATAGTTAGCCTCATAAGGTTTTTATTGGCAGGAGACATATGCAATAACCTTTCCATGCTCCATCAAAACACATTCAAGGCTATTTCGAGAGGCATAACTGTAGACCTGAAAACCTTGTGACCTAGATGGTAAGGCTAAGACTGGAGCTGATACCAATCTGTGCTTGAGTTCTTCAAAACTGCATTCTTGATCATTACCCCATTCAAATTTAACCCCTTTTCGAAGGAATCGAGTTAAAGGAAGTGCAATTTTTGAGAAGCCTTCAACAAATCGTCTGTAATATCCCGCTAGACCTAGAAATCCACGAACTTCTGAAACATTGGTTGGTCGTGGCCAGTTAGTGACAACTTCTACTTTAGCAGGATTAACTTTAATATCTTCAGCAGAGATAATATGTCCCAAGAAGACCACCTGGTCGAGCCAAAACTCGCATTTAGAGAATTTCTTGTACAAGCTTTTGTCTCGAAGAATTCTCAAATGGAAGTTGTATATATACCTCTTAGGATTTTATACCAATTGGATTCACATAATTTGGAACGCTGGTCTATTTTATATAGAATTTAAACAAACATAGTGCAATTTCATGTGGCTGCAGACAGGATCTGGAAAATCAAATATTTCAAGCCACATAGCATTCGAATTAGGTTTCTAAGTAAACAACAAAGTTGTATATAACTCAATCACCTTTTTAACTATATAAAGAACGCATCAATCAGACAAACAATTGATTTTATATGTGTAACATCTTCATTTTCACCATGAGTTGTGTCACGTCATTCTCATTAAATAACAATAAATAACCCCAAAATATAGTGGCTAACAAAGTCTTATTATAGCGGAAGTCTTACAAATTCAATTAAAATTAATAGCTCAACGCTAACCCATCTTATACCGGGTTACATTACAAAATGAGTTTAAACATAAACCTAAACATCCGAAATATAATAATATAATTATCTAGAAGAGAACCTCGCTCTTGTCCACCCTTGAACCTCTTGCACCTGAGATGCATACTAATAGTCAGTTTTACAAAGTTTGGTGAGTTCATGGTTTTTGTGCACAATCATACACACATCATCATGCATAAAACAAACAATGCCCCAAATAAAATAATATGCACATTTGTTTCAAACCCTTTTAAAATAATAATGAGATCTTTTAATTTCCCGTCGGGTTAAGGTCTTACCGTCATCAGCACTTCCCCGGGTTACACGGCTATCCCTTGTCCGGTTACCCCTCCCTAGGATGTGCCATCCCTTATGACTTTTGACCCCTTCCCATAACCGACAAAAATATTAACCCGTTTATAACATGCTAATTAATGTTTAAAAACACGTAAACAAATAGCATGCAACCCACAATAATAATTCATATACATGTAATAAACCCATAAATATGTACATAGAAAATATCGTAATGCTCAAATAATTTGTACATAAGCATGCATTCCAGTTAAAGTCTCATGAAAACTCACATGAATAACTCTGTTTGGCTAAACCTCGTCCCTGAGTAATATATTATAACATGAAATTATATTTCAATAATTAGATAATTGACATTTCCCCAAAAAGTCAACCCGAAAGTCAAATAGGTCAACTTTGGGGTAAGAATGGTCAACGGGTCAACCCCAAGCATACCTCGTCGCCATATACCCCCTCCCCAATGGAATTTGTTTCACATCCGAAATAAATTACGACGTATTAAACCCAACATTTAATTATATACGATTCTCGTTATAAAAACGTCCGATCCCACAATTATCTAGTCACAACTCCCGAAATAAGTTATTAAATTATTTCTTATAATTTAAATATAAAACTCCAATTAATTAGTAACTTTTACAATTGATGTCCAAATCTTGACCAACTTAATCGAAACATCCCGATTTATTTCGATTAATCCAAGTAAATAAACGAGCCTCAAATCTCTTTTCAACAAAATCTTATATACAATATTAATCCCAAATCGTATCCAAATTTACAGCCCCTACGGTTCAATATTAAACTCGTATTTTGAGTTTTTGTACCCGAATCTCGTCAAGCCACTGCCACAACAGCTTCTAGCCTAAACCACTCGACGTATAAGCCACCATAGCCCACGAGACTTGTACCAACATAAAGATAATTGAAAAACGAAACCAACCATATATTTTACATCAATTTTGGTTGAGTATTTTACCTCCAATCGCCGTTTTTGTGCGGAATGACCCTATGCCGCTTCAAACTCAATATCTCTCTCGTTTCTTGATGAAATCTCGAAATTCCAAAGACGTTTACTCCCTTACACCCTTCGGAACGTCTCCACAAAATTTCAGCCGAAAACTTCAATTTATAAGCCGTTAACCGTCTCCAAAATAAGAAAAACGTGATTTTGGGAAATGATTTCCCAAATCTCATCATTTCCAAATTAATTTTCTACTTTTGATAGAACTAGTCCCTTTTGTTTTTCTTTCTGCATTTTCATCCCAAATCAATTAAATACAAAATGTTTCATTTCCTTTTTTTTATTGATTTTATTTATTGCAATAAAATCATATTTTTCGAGTATCAACACTTTAATCTTGTATGTCATTTACTCTTTAAATTTTAATCCTTAACATTTATTTATTTTACGAATCATAAACTTTTAGGGTGTTACAATATGAGTTTTCAAACTTACAGAAATAAATATGCCTTCTCTAAAAATTCCTAAGTTTATAGAGATGAGATGAGCTTTTTTTAGAGAGATGAAGGAGAAATCCTGAGAGTTAGAGAGAGAGAGGAAAAAAATCTGATTATAACAAAAGTAACAATTTCATATATATATATATATATATATATATATATTCCTATTTAAGGGAGAACTGAGTTGTTTGTGGTAACTGTGAGAACCAATATTAACCACAAATCAATAGATAAATTAGAAAATT